TAAGGAAGGACAAGTGTCTCTGGTCCCACTGCCATACCTACCTGTCAGAGAACTGGGTTCTCAAATATGCAGTAGCATGTGTAGAAAGTGAACCTCGGTCTGTACTCTAGTGCAAAAAGGAAGCGCAAGCAACCAGGGTCTTATTAAAGAGCATCTGATAGCCAAAGTCATTGCAGAACACTGAAACACAAGTATGGGGTAGGAGGTACCATGCAGATTTGTAACAATGCTTTGTCTAAAAGTGCACCTTCATACAAGTTCACTGTTGTAAATGGAGAAGAAAGCCTGAGCTCCATTTCAGGTAAATTGTTGATGAGTCAGTTCAGCTCTCGAGTGAGAAATGATCATCTGAGCTGCTAAAATTTTAAATAAATTGGAGGGACATCAGAAGAAACATTCAGCAGGATATAAGGCATTGTGGAGTAGGAAAAAATATGTTCAGACTACATATGACAAAAGATATCCAAAATAAGGAACCCAAGAACAAGAAATTAGCCTGACTTTAAAAGTAAGCAAAGGACCTGGATAATATTTCTCATGATATATGATGTGGTCCCAGCAGTACTAGTTGTCAGGAGAAGGAACTCAAAACAGATGAGATGCCACCTCACACCTGCTGGGCTGAGTGCTGCAGAGAGGTAGTGGGTTCTGTTGAGAATCTAGTAGACGGTAGCCAGTGTGGATAGGAAAGAAGATGCATTTAGACAGAAACAATTGCAGCATCTGCCATGGAATCTAAGGTCACACTCAGAAGCAGTGAGTCAGATGGTGGTTGGTGAAGGCTGTAGATCATTGCAGACTGGGGCCTTGTTAAAGGGTACAGTTTACCAGGCATAGTGGCACATCCTTCTAATCCCAGCATGTAGGCTGAGGCAGGAAGATTGCCACTAGTAGTTGCAGGCCAACCTGGGCTATATTGAGGCCTTGTTTGAAAAGAAGAGATACCTTGTGGTGTAAACCACACAAGGTTACCACAGCGAAGAGTGCACTTAGAAATTCCTGACCACAGCTTAACTGTTCTCAACGAAAGAAAGTATGTGACAGATCTGTTGATTAGCTTGATTTAATCACCTAAGATGTATGCATATGTCGAAATAGCACATTGTACACCATAATATATGCAGTTTTAGTTTGTCAGTTACACAGATGGTACCTGTTAATGTTTGTCAAAACTTAGTCTAAACAGGCTTCAGGGTCCATGTGATTAATAGACACAGAAATCCAACCAAAGCCAGACTTCAGATAATTACATAAAAATTACTCACCAAGTAAGTGGGATTTTTTAAGTTCCTCACCAGCACCCCGAAAATAAAATCCCATAGAGTAAGAGAAACTTAGAGCTATGTCTGAGCCAACCTTACCATTTTCAGATCACATGGCTACCCCTGGGATTCCTTATGCCTTGGTTACTTTGCTATAAGTTTTGTCATCATTGTTTTGTTTATAAATATTCAAGTAAATTCCAGATTTTGGCCAGTTTTTAGTCTTTGCTGGTCAGATCTCCTCATAGGTAATCAGTTTTTAGATGCCCTATTAGGACAGACCTCTTATCATTTTGCTGGTATATTAGCTTATAACCTTAAAACAGAATGTTAGTCCTTATTCACATGTCTTAGTTAGGGGTTCTGTTACTGTGATGAAACACCATGACATAAGAGCAAGTTGGGGAGGAAGGGGTTTGTTTTGCTTATACTTCCTTTCATCATCGAAGGAAGTCAACACAGGAACCTGGAGGCCAGAACTGATGCAGAGGCCATGGAGGGGTGCTGCTTACTGGCTTGATCATGCCAGGACCAACATTGGCCTTACCCCATCAATCACTAATGAAGAAAATGTCCTCCAGGCTTGCCTTTTTTTTTTTTTTTTTTAAAGACTTTTATTTTATTTATTATGTATACAACATTCTTCTTCCATGTATATCTGCACACCAGAAGAGGGCACCAGATCTCATAACAGATGGTTGTGAGCCACTATGTGGTTGCTGGGAATTGAACTCAGGACCTCTGAAAGAGCAGTCAGTGCTCTTAACCTCTGAGCCATCTCTCCAGCCCCAGGCTTGCCTCTTAATAGAGTATTTTCTTAACTGAGTTTCCCTCCTCTCAGATGTTTTTAGCTTGTGTCAAGTTGTTATAAAACTATCCAGCACATTCACATTTAGCAGATTTTAGGTAAGCTCAACACAGTTTATTTTCTTTGACGTTCATGTTTTTTAAAGTATGTAAGGTCATAGGTGTGCTAATTAGTTTGATGGAGCCATTCCAGGGCATATGCATTATCAAAACATTGTAAACCATAGATACTTTATCTAACAATTTAAAGATTCCTTGTAGTATTTTTAAATTATTTTTATTTCATGTGAATTGGTTTTTTGCTTGCATGTATGTCTGTATGAGGGTGTCGGGTCCTCTGGAACTGGAGTTAAAGACAGTTGTGAGCTGCCATGTGGGTGCTGGGAATTGAACCCCGGTCCTCTGGAAGAGAAGTCAGTGTTCTTATCCACTGAACCATCTATCCAGCCCCATCTTTGTGGTATTTTTTTCTCTCTCAAAGTAACAGGGAGGAATTTGGGAGATTTCTAATAGCTAGGTGTTATTATTTGTTGTTAGAGAATTTCATACAGTGTGTTTTTTTTTATCATATTCTTTCCTGTCGTCCTCCCCACCCAACTCCTTCCAGAACCTCCCCTCTCTACCCAGGCAACTACATGTTTTTTCTCTCGCTTAAAAAAGGAAGACAAGAAAAAAGCCAGTAAAAAACATAGCATCTGATTGGTGTTGTCCATCTACTACTGAGTATGAGACCTGCATGTGGTTGACATACCCAATACCCACTGTCCCCTGAAGAAAATGGATTTTTCCTTCCCTTACCACCTACCATTTACAAATAGCTTCCTGGCTAGGGGTAAGATTTACCCACTTCCCTCCTTCATGCTGGGATTTTTGCTGGCTTGAGTTTGTGCAAATTTTGGGCATGTTGTCTCAATAACTTAACCGTAGCCTATGTGAGGTGTCCTATTGTGACTCCCATTCTGCAGAGGACAGGACGACAATGGGGTATTCAGTTGAAGTTACTTGGCAGTTAAGTGATAGGATTTGAACCCACAGGCTAAATGTATCTCTTCTGCAGCACATCTGTGAACCCCACCTTAAAATATTTCTTTTCTCTTGGCTTTCCCATCCACTGACCAAGCCAGCCAGTATTTCCTCATCTAGTCCATGAAATGTCAACAGATGTTCCATAAAAAAATGTATAATGGAAAAGTATTTAACCCAGTACTTTCCTGTGTGCATAGAGATTATTTATGCTGAGTACTTCTCACTGAATTATATGTAAATATATATTGCCAGGGGGAACATTCATCTTGTATCATTCTAAAATTATTTTTGCCTGGAATGTTGTGTTTGGTTTTTTTTTTTTACAAATTATCCACAGATATCTCAAGGAACACACAGTTCTCTGCCATTTCTGTGTTCTTGATTCTCATTCACTCCTTTACACAATTAGTTTCACCTAAATCTTGTAGGTTGTTTCTTGAGTATAAGCGCACAGGTGTGTTTGCCTGCCTTAGCCTACGGGAAACACTGCTTTTCCTGCATTGACTGTGTTATACAAAGGGCATGTTAGCTGCTGTTCCTGCATGGATGCCAGGGTTGCAGATGCCAGCTGCCACCTATGGTCTGTGTTGAGTATCCTGCAAATACTGTTTACGTTTCTGCACAACCAGAATAGTTGCCCCAAGATCAGAGTGGAACATTGTGCTTTCTGTAATTCTATCTGGAAAGCTTGTCAGCAGCAGAGTCCTCTCCTGTGTGCCTCAAGTTTGACATGGAGTCTACCTGTGCTAACGTGTGCTCTTAAACCAGGAGCCCTTAAAGACCACATCCTATTTACTTTAGTTCTCACAGTACACATGTGATCAATTGGGTTTACCTCCATGAATGTTTGACTGGATTCACTTTCTGGAAGTATTGTCAAAAACATGTTTTATATTGGAAGTCTGAGAGTAGCTTTCATTCCTTTTGTTAGTAAGTCTTTCTTGTATTTCAGTATAATGTTATAATTTCCTTAAAGTTTTTTTTTCTATGTGGAACATTTTTTTAAACAAAACAATTTCTTAGTACTGGTAGGGCATTCAGAATTAAATGCAATCCTACATTCCATAAGTTATTAAAGCATTTTTTTTAAGTTTGTGGGTATTGACACTTTATAAGTCAGCTGTCTTGTTGTAACCTCCTCTTTTATAGTATTAGAGCTCAAACCTAGAGTATTTTGCATGCTAGGCAAGTGCTCATTCTCTGAGCTCTTCCCAAGCCTGTGTGACCTCTTTATTTTAGTCATGATTAACTCATTTATTGTTTACATAAGTTCATCCATATTTATGTTACTTTTCAATGTTATCTAAGCACTCGTTGTCTCTTCAACCAGGTTTATGAACACAAAGCAGCCTCCCATAGCACTTCAGTACATGATTCATGCCAGATTAGCCTTTTTATTTTATTATGTATGTGTTTTGCCTGTGTGTGCCTGGTGCCATCAGGTCCCCTGGGACTGGAGTTAGACAGTTGTGAGCCACCTTAATTTATTGGGTGCTGGGAACCGAACTCATAGATTCAGAAGAATACCCATGGCTCTTAATTAATTAATCTTGGTTTATCATGCCTAGTTACAAATAATCTCATTAATTAGCTCTGTCCAACTCTTTACCTTCCAATCTGCCATTTTACTTTGGCAAATATTCAGTGGAAATTGAGAAAGTCTGTGCATTTTCACTTGGATTTGGATTCATACTTTATCTGACTTTATGTAACTTACCTTGCTGTCATTTGAACTCAATTTTTAAAAATGGAATGACTGATTTTAAATTTTTCTGAAAAAAAAAAAAAACTCTGAAAGATTTACTGTATAAATGCTAATGAGAAATATCTTAGATATGAAAGGGTCAGAACTGAACGTGTGCCTGTATCATTCTCAGTTACAGTATCTGATACATATCTTTTCAGGTTTTGAAAAGTTACAGAAAAAAGAAAAGAAGGGGGAAGAAGAGTGTTGAGAAAAGTTTATACGGGGAAAGAGACATGGCATCTAAGAAGCCGCTCCTGAGCCCTATCCCTGAGCTGCCTGAAGTCTCTGAAATGACACCTCTGGCTGACTGCACGCAGAAGATATGTTCAGGTGCTGCTTCTCGGCCCCTCTTTGTTACTACTATACTCTTTCTCTTCCCTTTTCCCATTCACTTTTATAAAAAAGACTGAATCCGTTATCAGCAAAGGAAATTGTAGTCTATGATCTGTAAGGGGCCTTTGCTCTATCAGAATCTAATGAAATTCTCATCATTTTTATCAGAAAAATTCAAACACAAAATTTGCATGTAACTTTGGGGGAGATTATTTCTGTTTATCTACTTTTTGCTGCCTTTTGTTATGATGAGTTATGTTTGGTTGTGTGGCTCATCACAGAAAGTGGGCAAGATAATGTATACATCTTAGGAGTTAATAACAGTGCTGATGGCAGTGGTGCACGCCTTTAATCCCAGCACTTGGGAGACAGAGGCAGGGGGATTTCTGTGAGTTCAAGGCCAGCCTGGTAAACAGAGAATTCCAGGACAGTCAGGGCTACACAGAGAAGCCCTATCTCAAAAAACTGAAGGAAAAAAAAAAAAGTTAATAACAAGAATAGGAAAATAGAAACAACTTGCCTCATAACATTTCTTTACAATTATAATCTAGAAATGTTTATAAATTAAGCTTGATTACCTTGAAAGTTACTTTACAAGCAAAGACCAAGTTAACTTATTGTAAGATTATTCATTTTATGTGTATGAGTGTTTTGCCTTCATGTGTGTGTATGTGTACCTTATATATGCCTGGTACCTGCTGAGGCCAGAAGAAAGCATCAGATCCCCAGAACTGGAGTTATGGGTGGTTGTGAGTTACTGTGGGGTGTTGGAAACCAAACCCACACCCTCTGCAAGCCAGTGTTCTTAAGCACTGAGCCACCTCTCCAGCCCCTATAATGTATAAGTCTAAACTGAGCTTTCATCCTTAAACTGTTATGATAAAAGTGTCCCCATTTAGCATGTTGATTTTGTATGTAGCCATTTTAAAATGGCTTCCTTTATCTTAGCTATATATGTCACTGTAGACTCTGGCTTCTACAGGCATCTCAATTTGAGGACAGAGCAGGAGTTTAACAAGTATTCAGAATAACTCATTCCTGGCTCATTACTTTCATGAGGAGTGCTGTGGAATGGGAAATCTGCCATTTCTACCTCCTTTTCATCTGTAATTGCTGTTGTCATATGAAAAGAGGGTTTAAGACAATTTAGTTTCTTTTCATCTCTCTCTAAACTTTCTCTCCCCGGCACCTCTTTCTTTCAGTATGCTATAAAAATATATCAGTATTAAAGAACCTATGTAATTGTAAATCATGACTTGTATGAATCTCTAACTTCACATACTATTTACCTACTCTAATCATGAGTGTATTTTTTCAGATTAAAACATTGGTTTTTGTTTGTTTGTTTGTTTGTTTGTTTTGGTTTTGGTTTTACGAGACAGGGTTTCTCTGTGGCTTTGGAGGCTGTCCTGGAACTAGCTCTGTAGATCAGGCTGGTGTCGAATTCACAGAGATCCGCCTGCCTCTGCCTCCTGAGTGCTGGGATTAAAGGCATGAGCCACCACCACCTGTCAAAACATTGATTGTTTTTTAAACTTTAGGCTCAGCTATATTTTATATGTATCTTTAAGCTTTGATTTAATTTAAAACATCTTTTATATTCACTTGAATGACCAACTAAAAGCATCATCTTAGATAATAGAGATAGAATCTAATAGCATTGATTTAGAATCATAAGAACTGAATTCTTATAGGACAGTGGTTCTCAACCTCTGAGGCAAAACTCCTTTGGGGGCTGGACAACCCTTTCACAGGGGTCAGCTAAGGCCATCGGGAAGTACAGATACTTATATTACAATTCATAACAGTAGCAAAATTACAGTTATGAAGTAGCAATAAAAGTAATTTTATGGTTGGCATACCACAGTATGAGGAACTGTATTAAAGGGCTACAGCATTAGGAAGGCTGAGAACTACTGCTCTAGGACATGTCCTTTCTCAGTCTCAAACCTGACTAGTACTCACCTATGAAGTACTGCAAACATACACAGAGCTACATGCCATGTTCTTGCCCAGAGCATGAAGCTTAGTCAGAAAGGACAGGGCTGGACCTTGAGATTGGGTCCCATGGCTCTGTCTACTTTTTACACATTTTATTATATATATATATATATATATATATATATATATATATATGTATATATGGCATTCTAAGAAACCATGACAGTTTTACACTTCAGTTGCTATGTCTTCATGTACCCCAGAATTCTCATTTTTATCACCTTGCTTCAAGAAGACATTGACTGAAGAATTTGAGAAGTGTGGTGCTGTCTGGTTTTTCAGGAAATGTTTCACACTATTGGACCTAGTAGTATGGGAAGCACATTAAAGAAAAGGAAACTAAGACAGCAGTCTCATTTTCATAGTCTGAAATTGTGTGCTTTATTAATTCATGTGTTGAACACTTGTTTTCTTAACCTATGGACTGGGGCACTAAGAGGGACTGAGAATGACAGATGAGAACAAGAACAGTGTGATGATTGTGGGTTGTGTAAGTTCTGAAAGCTTAAAAGATAGCATTACATAGAGAACATTTATATGAGTCAAAGACTGCTTATTTAATTAGCAAAGCACTGTTCCTTTATAATTGAATTTAAGTGTGTTTATGTGCCGTAGATGATTTCAACGTAAGTGACAAACAGGAAGAAGTGATCTCTCTTGAAATTCCTGCAAAAAGAAAGAGACTCTTGACCCAGGAGGAAGATTTGCCTGAATTCGATCCAGCTTTTGATCAGTCTCTTGTGTCTGAATTGTGCTGCTGCGTGTTGCCGGTCACTGCTGCTTCTGTAGGAGGGCCAAATGCCAACGCCGGGGACACAGGCAGAGCCGGAAATTCCAGTACAAAAATTAAGCATCAAAGTGCAAACGAACCAAAAACTGAGACCAAGACTGAAAACAGTCCTATGCCTTGTGCTTCTGTGACACGAGAGCACGTTGTGTCAGATAATCCAAAGCCTCTGTGTATCCCCTGGTGCCAGGAATTTTCTGAGACTGATAAAGAAAATCCTTGTGAGGTCCTTACGGTTTCAGAGAATATGAATATGAAGTGTGAGGAAGAGAGTGCATGCCCAGCTCCAAAGGGGAATCTGCAGTGCGACCCTGTCACATCTGACTCAGACAGGGGGGGTAATTGTTCAGAAGATGTCCTAGTTGAAAATCTGAAAGAAACCACAAGCCACAGTGAGACCGTGGGAAGAAAATGTTCAGAAAACGGCAGCCTCATGAGTGGTAGAGAAAGGAAACGGAGGAGACTTTCTATGCTTTGCTGTGAGGGTCAAAGTTCATACCTGGAACAAAAGGGGGACTCCACATCTTCCAACAGTGGGGGAAGCTCTGTAGAAATTAGCTTAAGAAATCCCCAGCTGTGTGAAGATTTATCTGATGCCATAGAGCAAAGCTTTCAGAGAACAAACACTAAACTCAAAGTAAGGCGAAGTACAAGGCTCCAGGGAAACTTGGATAGCACAGGGCTTATATGGATATTGCCTCCCACTCCTCCTACATCCCAGAAAACCAAAAGGAGAATGACAATTTGTGCCTTTGACAGCAGAAGACTTCAAAGTATGTCCTCCAGAGAAGACACTGTATCCTCAGGACAGACCCCAAATCCCCTGCCATCCATCCCAGGCAGTGGGTGCCAGGGTATTGGTTCTTCTAAGCTACCTGGGAAAAGGAGGAAGAGCTGTGTGTATACACTCCCAAATGCTGAGAGTACCACTGAGCCACCACACTTCAAGAGAATACCCTCTCTCAAGAAGGGAGAAAGCTCTCAACTGCAGTGAGGGGCTGGGCACAGGAGAACAAACCGAGGCAGGAACTGACTGTTCCACCTGGCATTGACTGTTAGGAGGGATCCCAGCCCCTCCCTCCTACTTCCATCTCTATTCAGCTTCAGTGCATTGCAAGTTTCTAATAAAAAGCATTTGAGTTGTGATGACTTTAAGTAGAAATGAGTGGATTTCTTCATCATCCAAAAGAAAAACATGATTATGTATCTTCTCCCCGCCAAATGCTAAGTGTTTATTAGTCTTTTGCTAAAATGTTTGTTTCTAGACCCAACAATGTGTTTCTGCATTTTTATTCCTGGTAAGTCACATTTACCACTGAAGGCTTAGACTGTTATGGAAAACAGCCTTTAGGATGGCTTACTCTTTAGTTTGCTTGGATGACTTGGTTGTCTGTCTCAAACCAGTTTTCCTTTGGTAATTAAGTGAAAGTGGGGTCCTGCATTGAAAATTTTCTTCAATGACTGAACTCTAGATCCATTGTTATAAATGAATATGTAATTAGAAATGACTATGCAATCATTCTTCTAGGTGGTTCAAATCAGTCATAGGTAATTCAGAATTTAATAATTGTTTACTATTAAATTTATTTTGGAAAAGTAGAAACTTGAATGTGTTCTAGAAAATTTGTTTACCAACGCAAATAAATCATGGTGTAGGTTACTGATTTCTTTTAACCACATTTTTCAGCCTTTGAAACTTTTTGTTTTCTGATATCCATACTGTCACTTGCTTGTCCTCTCTGAGCTTAGCTTTTGCAACTCCCTAGCCTTGGTGGCAAAAATTTAAAAATCTAAACTGCCTGCTGTATATCTGGAATCTGTGAATGTAATAAATCATCTTATCATTAAACAATGGTCCCAGAAATCCTTTAAATCACTAGTTCTCCTTCAGCCTGATAGCAGAAACATGTTAACAAATAGAGCTCCCTATAAATAACACACCAGGGAAGAAAGCTCCTGCTGGGCAGCCCATTTCCCCCTCGGAGGTGGAGCTATTTGTTACCGCCTTGGCACCGCCAGGTCTGGAGCCCCTGCTGAGAAGGACTGATGGATTTTACATTAACAGGCAAAGTGATCCCCAATTTTCTTTTGCTCAAGAGTGAATTGCCCAAAACTTTCTTTTATCTCTACATGTAAATCATTTATGGACTTTTCTCTCCTGTGTATGTAGTCACCAAGTCAGTACCACTAAACACACACACATACCAAAATGATAAAGAATTAACACATTTGGAAACTTCTTGGGTGATTTTTAAAAAGGGGGAGGATCCCCAAACACACAAATGTTAATAACATGCTAGAAGTTGTTGAGTTTTAAAAACAATTTTAGTATTTGCCCTTGTTTGGGATGAGGCTCAGAAGCTATTGACTGTTATTTGCCTCCCTATTTTAGGCAGTGTCTGCTCACTGGTAATAGTTTACACACTGTCTGAGCTCTCAGAGTAAAGACTGATTATGACTCAGTTTGTCTAATGTATTCTCATGTTTCAGTACTGAGATTAAATCTGTAAATCCACTCTGCAAATTGCATTCATTCTGAAATGTTTCATTATAAATGTTTGGTTGATGTTTATAGACATCACTTAGACCAGTGGTTCTCAACCTTCCTAATCCTGTGACCCTTTAATACAGTTCCTCATGTTGTGGTGACTCCCAACCATAAAATTTTATCTGCCACATCTCACCTGTATCAGATGGTTAGTGAAAAGTTAATTTCTGTATTTGAGCATCCTTTCTGCCCCCACTCTCTCCCCCTTGTCTTTTCATTAATGGTAAGCTGAAAGTTGTTTTTTCCCTGCCTGCCTTGATCTTTTTTTCTGGAGGTAGCTAACCCTGGGTGCTTCCCTTAGAATGTCTCCTGTCTTCATTGCTTCTGTCCTTGCAGATTCTCATTTCTTCCAGAAGATGGCAGTGTGATTCCTGCAGTTTTCGTTGTGTGTGCAAACAGAAAGGCCAATGGCTGCTTGTAACTACTATTGCCTGAACTTCTTGATAGTTCACTCGTTTTTTTAATAGGAAATCAAGAGTGCTTGTGAAGAAAGCAGAGAACACATAATGTACAAGAAGTATAAGCAGCTTTCTGTATACAGAAACTCAAATGGCATGCATCTTCCAGACCTCCTATGCCCATGCAAGTGTGGTTGTTTGCCAATGGCATATACATGCCATTCTGCAGCCTCTGTTCCACAGAGTCCCATGACTGTCAGTCTTACTGCAGACAGCCCTAGTGCCCCTTTAGTCTTTCATCCCTGTGTGGAATTACATATCTGGGTATCTGTAGTGTGGGCAACCATCTCTTTGGTCGTAGGTATGTGTTGTCGCCTGCTTTTATGACTGAAAAATTGTGTCACAGATTTTGTGAGATCATGCCAGTGTTGAAGTGGTGGCCGGGTTCTCTTCTGCAGATTGTGGAAAGTTCCTCTGACATACAGCTAGTTTCTTGGCCTTCTTTTATTTTCTCCCGTCCCACAATGGTATTCTGATCTTCTCATCTGCTCTGACTAGAGCTTCAGGTTGAGGGTGCAGCTCTGTACTGGCAAAGCAAGCAGAGAGTATAATTGATAATGCCTGACTCACACTTTAAATTGTCCAGTTTTGGGGACAACTTGCAAAAGTTGACTTTAAAAAGAGCATACTGTTTGAATTTTGGAAAATATATATGGTCATGTACCACTTCGACAGCAGAGTAATAATATGTCCACCAATCCCACTCCCCTCTCCAGCTCTTCACAGCTGATAATTTGAATTATCTTGTACTCCTTGCCTTGTCTAGAATGTCACAGACAAGGAATCTTGATTGACGATAGATAGATAGATAGATAGATAGATAGATAGATAATAGGTAGATAGATCCTTCATGCCTATTTTTTAATAGCATGATGCTTTTGAAATTCATCCATGCTCCATGCTGTAAATGATTATTGCTGGTTACTAATTTCACTCTGGATATTTGAGTTCTAGAATCATTTTGTTGTGGATAAAAATGCATCCTGTTTTTTCACAGATACATACTTCCATTCATGGGATGCATGCTCAGAGATAGGATCTCGATTTGAATTTCCCAGGCTGGTGGTGATGAACATTTTCTCTGTTTATTGCCTTCCTTGCATCCTTATCTATTGGAGTGTCTTACCCAGGATTTTTGTTGTTAGTACTACCATGGTATTACTGAATTGAGTTTGTAATTTGCTACAAGTCCTTTACTGGGTATTTTTCTTACATTTTTTTTCCCCAGCCCATGGCTTATTTTTTTGTTGGTTTGATTTCTTGGTATAATCATTTGAAGAACAAATTTTCATTTCTTTGGAGTTGAATTTATTATTTTTTCTTTTCTTTAACAGTTCATGTATTTTGCATCCTAAGAATAGCCAGGCATAGTGTTTCATATCTATAATCCCAGCACTGGGGAGGCTGAGGCAGAAGGATTATTGTGAATTCAAAGGTAGCCTATGACATTTAGTAAGTTCCCAAGTGAAAGGTTCAGGCATTATGCTGGCCTGCCTCTGTTACCTGGCAGAATCCACTCAGGCAGTACCCTGGTCAGCCCAGGGTTCCATGGGAACTAAGTCTGCACGTACGTGCAAAGGACCCCTTTAAAAGACAGACCCCTGCCCACTTAAATGTTTCTCTTCTCTTCCTCTTCTCTCTGCCTCTTCTCTTAGCTCTCTCTGCCTCTCTATGGTGACCAGCCATGGCCGTCAGCCATTAATCCTGTTCCTCTTCTCTCTCAGTCTCTCTGCTCTGCTGGGCCTATAATAAACTGGTTAATATGTCTCTTAGTCTCATGTCTCATCCTGCACCCCTTCTTCTCATTTCTAATTTAAACAAAAGAATAATACCAAGCTTTTCTGAGCTGTCGCAATCAAAAGAAAAAGAATACATTTCTTAAGGGCAAGAAGAGCACAAAGTTTTCTAGAAGTTACATGGTTATTTTCTCCATTGAGTTTTCCATCTATTTGCAGTTCATTTCTGTGTGCCATTGGAGGTGCAGGTGGCTTTTTTGTTTGTTTTGAGTGAAAATCAGCCAGTGTCATTTGTTGAAAAGCTCATTGTTGAATTGTGTTGACACTTTTCTCTAAATCATGAGTCTGTGTCTGGGCCCTATTCTGTTGGTATGCATGTTTACTGTCCCGGTGTCACAGCATTTTGAAGCCTTTTGCTGTGGATTCTATCTCAGTTTACTTGTGAGGAGTGGGATGGACTAGCGGCCAGAAGAAGCAAAGGGTTAACCAACTCCCTCCATGGGGCTTCATCCTTCCCAGAGCACACTCCCTTTTGGAGACAATGACTCAGCAGTAAAAAGCATCCAGAGAAAGGGTGGGAGGCCAGCTTCACAGCTGGCAAGCCTGTTCCTGAGCCCAGTGACATTTTACTGAAGTTCATTTGCATCATGACCTTGAGTCCCTGGGCAGTTTAGAAGTAATTCACTTTATTTGGGCATTATCTTCTAAGCTATAGGTTTACTTAAAAAAAAAAAAAGGTCAATTTGATTCATTTATTTTCATGAAGTATGATAGTTTGGTTTAATATAAAAGCTGTCATAACATCATCAAGATTTGAGAATTACCCGGCAGTGGTGGTGCACACCTTTAGGGAGGTAGAGGCAGGCCTGGTCTACAGGGGTTCCAGGACAGCTAGGGCTACACAGAGAAACCCTGTCTCAAAAATAAAATAAAATAAAATAAAAAATAAAAAAGGAGAGATTAAAGAATTGTTTCTTAACATAGGCAAATTTCCCTGCAACAAATCATCCCAGGTAGGAAGACTGTTAATTAAGCATTCAACAGCATTTATTCAGCAACTACTGTATGCATACATTTATTTCTAAGTCTTTGGACACTGTTTTCTCCAAGAAGCAGAGTAATCATGTCAGGGAGACTGGTCAAGGCATGCCCAGCTCTGTCAGCCCTCCAGGCGGGGCCACTTGTGGTAGGATGACACAGTTGTGTTTCTGGAGGTCTTTAAAAGGCACATTCTTTACAAATACCTTTTTGTTATCGTAGGGTATGTTAGACCCCTGGAAAACTCAGGCCTCCCGGGTCTTAGCCCAGGACCGCAGTCACCCCAATCACCAGGCGGATTCGAAAGCTTGCTGCAAACTGCATGAGGCTTTATTGTTGTTTAACGAGCTAATCCCATGTTAGCTCGGGTCTTTCACCCATCAGCCATGGCGGATGGCTAGCAAAGACAGCTCGAACGGGCTGCATAGAGATCTTATAGGGCAGCGTAAGGGGAGTGTCTAGGGGTACGCACAGGCTCAGGATTGGTGTGCCTCCAGGCTTGGGGGGCTTTCCCTGTGTTGATTGGCCAACTGGTTGTTATGGCCCATAGGCCCTCCCAGGGGGGTTGCTATGCTCTGCATGTCATTGCTGTGCGCTTGTCCGTAAAGCATACCCAGAGCCGTAAAGCATAGGACTGCCAGCTAACTTCTAATTGGTTCCTTGCCACGAGGCAGGCATCTGACTTCTAGTGACTAGGACAAGGTCATGGCAAGTACATGTTAATGTCATGGCTGCCGAAATGGGGAGCTGGTCCCTTCAGGTAGAAGCCATGAATGCAGGCTGGCTTCATCTCCTGTAGGCTTTTGTTGTGCATTTCTCTTCTCATATGTTTTAACCAGTGAGTATGTCTTGGTGAGGCATAAATTTGAAAGACTAGTCATGAATTGAAAATAACAAAAATACAAAGAAACATCTCAACTTCTTACACCTTTTAAAGTCTCCTGCTACCATGTCTCTGCCCCAGCAAATTTTACTCTGGGTTTGAAAGCTTAGATCAAGTGAAGTTGGTATTAAGATCAAATAATTTGTGTGCCGCACACAGCAGAGTTTTGTCTTGAATTCACTGGAA